GTGGGAGGTTCCTCTACCATCCACCCATCTGTCCATCCATCATCCATCACCCATCTGTCCATCCATCATCCATCACCCATCTGTCCATCCATCATCCATCATTTATTGCCCATCCATCCATCATCCATCCAACTATCTGTCCATCTGTCCATCCATCCACCATCCATCCATCCAACCATCTGTCCATCCATCACCCACTCATTCATCTATCACCCATCCACCCATCATCCATCCGTCCGTCTCTCAGTCCGCCCACCCACCACCTATCCATCATCCATCCATCACCCACCCATCTACCCATCCATCTGTCCATCCATCATCCCTCACCCACTCATCCATCCGTCATCCATCATTTATCACCCATCCATCCATCATCCATCCATCATCCATCCATCCATCCATCATCCATCCGTCCGTCTCTCAGTCCGCCCGCCCACCACCTATCCATCATCCATCCATCACCCACGCATCCATCCACAGGAAGCAAAGTCGCCGAGCGCGTGCACTGTGAGGGTGGCCCGTGAAGGAGTCCACGCAGGCCGCTGCCCTCCAGGCACTCAAGCAGGGACGCCAGCAGTGGCTCCACCGTGGCCAGGGTGGTGAGGGTGGCGGTCAGTGTGCGGACGTGACGTCTGAGCTGAGCCTCAAGAGGACAGGGGGAATTGCACAGGAGTTTGGTGACCCCTGACGGCCCCGGGCCTCCCAGTGCCCAGCTGCCCAGCAGAGCTGCTTGTCCAGCCTTCACACCGGGCAGAGTGGACCCCCGTGGGGTATGGGAGTGCCATGGGGCCGGGTTGTGCACTCCAGGGGCTGGGTCTCCCTGGGTGTCCAGGTGGTCTGGGATCCGTGGCAAGGTCAGAGCACAGCACTGGGGTCAGTTTGGTCCGGCTGGCTGGGGGTGGGGCGGCCTGGACAGCACAGGGGTGATGGCCGAGGGCATCCCTGTGAGGCTGGCCCAGCAGCTCAGTTTGCTCTTCCTCTACACGGGACCCGAGGTGACACGCATGGCTGGGGCATGGGGGCCTGCGTGCTAGGGGTTCCCACGGGGGGCCGGTGTAGCGACGTGAGGACGGCCGGTCTGCTGTGTGCAGGGGGCGCTGTGGACCTGGGCACAGACAGAGCCCCCCTCTCTGGGTACCCCACAGAGCCCCTCTTTCTGGGCACCCCAGTCTTCCAAGGCCCTTGGTGAGTGGGTGCAGCCCCCACCCCAGCAGGCTGGCGACACCTCTGGAGAGACCCTCCCTGCAACACCCAGACCAGTCTTGGGCCAAACACGGTACCCTGGGGCCTGCCCTGCAGGTGTGCGTCCCTCCAGGAGCTGGGGTGTGCACGGGGAGTCCCCGCTGCCTCTGCACCCCTGGGCGCGGGGCTCCCCCCTTCCGCCACCCCCTTCCCCGCTGAGTCAGCTTTGTGGCCGCGTGGCCGTGACGTCCTCGGGCCCCTCCCTGGGGTTGGCACCATCCGCTGAGTGGTCCTTGGAGTGGTGTCTCTCCCTGGTAAGCACCGTGGCCCTGGGCGGGGCTGCCACTCGCACCTCGGCACCACCTGGCAGGTGCCGCCCCGGGGCTGAGACGGGAGAGCAGAGCTGGGGCAGAGGCCACTCCCGCTCCTCCCCCCACCCCACGCACACACTAGGCCGCTCAGGGCAGGCACCGACCAGGGCCAAACTCACCTCCATGTCTCCACCTGTGTCAGCAAGTTTCCAGTTCACCTTTAGAAATGAATCCACGTTTATTTGCCTGTGAGACAGAGAATAAGCTTCCATCCACTGCCTCCGTACTGAACACTGGCGACAGCTGGGGCTGGGCCAGGCTGAAGCCGGGAGCCAGGAGCTCCATCCGGGTCTCCCACGTGGGTGCAGGGGCCCAGGCACCTCCTGGGATGTGCAGGGAGCTGGAACAGGACTCGAGCCCAGGCACTGATATGGGGTGCCAGTGTCCCCAGCCCCCCACTTTTCCTGCACAGGGCATGCACCCCTCACCAGCCAGAGGCACTGACCGCAGTGGCCCCAGTGGGCAGCCGGGAGGCCGGTGGTGGGCGGTCCTGGCCCCACGGAGCCCTGACTCCCGTTTGTCCCAGTGTCAACTCCCTGGCCCCGTGGCATGCTGGGATGTTGCCGGTCACTCGGAAACCACACCTGAGACCTGAGGTGGCCAAGATGGTGTCGGGGCCGCCCAGAGGGAGCACAGAGCTGTCCCCCAGATTCGGGAAGACGCCTGCCTCCCACTCGCTGCCCCAGGGTGTGGGCCGGGGATGGAGCCGCCACCCCCCCCCCCCCCCCCGCCCCGCGCACCTGCCCGCTGTCTGCCGAGGCCCACTGGGACAGAGGGAGCCGCCAACCCCCTCCCCGCCCCATGTACCTGTCCACTGTCCGCTGAGGCCCACTGGGGCAGAGGGGGCCGGGTCTGGAAAATCCCGGCTCCTCGGCCCAGAGCCAGGCCTGGGTCCCGGCTTTCCCCAGGGCTGGCGGCCAGCACGGAGGCCCCGGGGCAGCAGCACAATAGCCCTGCTGCCTGGGCTCTGGTTCCTAATCCCCGCTCCTCCTGCCTTGGCCACACACGCGGGGGCTCTCACGTCCCCAGAGCCCGGAGGGAAGGGCAGGGCAGAGCGCAGGCCTGGGCTGGCGGGCGCAGCAGGGCAGGACCAGGGGCTTTGCCCCAGACCCCCGATCCTGGCCACCCTCATCCCTGGTGTCCTTGCAGTGTGGGGACCCCCCACTGGCCCTCTGTCTGCTGCTGTGGGGTGGGGGGTACACCAGAGCTCGGACCCGGCCACCAGGGAAGGCCTGGTGAGTCTCTCCCGATGGACAGGGCTCGGCCCGAGCAGGGGTCACGGCTGCGGGACAGCTGGGGCAGGGTCCCGTGCCACCACACTATTGAGATGGCCTCTCTTCACGGACCACTAGGGACGGGGCTCCCCGCTGACCCCAGGGCCAGGTCTCCCCGCTGACCCCAGGGTGGGGCCCCTCCCCGCTGACCCCAGGGCCAGGCCTCCCCGCTGACCCCGGGGCCAGGTCTCCCCGCTGACCCCAGGGTGGGGCCCCTCCCCGCTGACCCCAGGGCCAGGTCTCCCCGCTGACCCCGGGGCCGGGCCCAGGCTGGAAGCTGCAGCATCCCCAAGATCGGGGCTCCCCCGCTGCGCCCCGGCCAGCAGTCGGAACTCAGGCTCTGTCCGTCTCCTGGCAGAGAGAACGTGGCCCGCAGAGGCCCCAGCCTGTCCCCCAGGCTGAGCAGCGTGAGCCTCCGGTGGCCGAGGGGCTCCTGCTGTGGGGCCGTGGCTGTGCGGACATGACGTCCCCTCAAGGCACCGCAGAGGAGCGGGAAGTTCCTGGGCCACAGCTCCGGCCGGGCGGGCCCTCCCTGGGGGCGAGGCGCGGCTGGGAGCCCCACGGTGCCCCTGGAAGCAGCGACTGGGGGTCCACGGGGTGGGGGCTGCACAGGCGGCTCCCGACCGGCCCCATTGCCCCGGGAGGCTGCCACTCTGGGCTGCGAGCCAGGACCCCCGCCCCCGTGTCCCTGTCAAGTGCCCCCGGCTGGGCCGGCAACTCCCTGAGTTCTAATTACAGGTAATTCCAGAGAGCAGCTCACCTGGGGAGAGAGGATTAGCGCCGGGGTGGGAACTTCAGCCAGAGCCCAGTGATCCCCCACCCTGACCCTGCAGGAACCCACGTCCCCCTCCCCTCTGGGTCAGGGGCAGTGCCGGGGTCCTCACACCCCCGCCCTCTGGGCCAGGGGCAGTGCCGGGGTCCTCACACCCCCGCCCTCTGGGTCAGGGGCAGTGCCGGGGTCCTCACACTCCCGCCCTCTGGGTCAGGGGCAGAGCTGCCGGGGTCCTCACTCCCCCGCCCTCTGGGTCAGGGGCAGCGCCGGGGTCCTCACTCCCCCGCCCTCTGGGTCAGGGGCAGCGCCGGGGTCCTCACTCCCCCGCCCTCTGGGTCAGGGGCAGCGCCGGGGTCCTCACACCCCCGCCCTCTGGGTCAGGGGCAGCGCCGGGGTCCTCACACCCCCGCCCTCTGGGTCAGGGGCAGCGCTGGGGTCCTCACTCCCCCGCCCTCTGGGTCAGGGGCAGCGCCGGGGTCCTCACACTCCCGCCCTCTGGGTCAGGGGCAGCGCCGGGGTCCTCACTCCCCGCCCTCTGGGTCAGGGGCAGCGCCGGGGTCCTCACACCCCCGCCCTCTGGGTCAGGGGCAGTGCCGGGGTCCTCACACTCCCGCCCTCTGGGTCAGGGGCAGCGCCGGGGTCCTCACTCCCCCGCCCTCTGGGTCAGGGGCAGTGCCGGGGTCCTCACACCCCCGCCCTCTGGGTCAGGGGCAGCGCTGGGGTCCTCACTCCCCCGCCCTCTGGGTCAGGGGCAGTGCCGGGGTCCTCACACCCCCGCCCTCTGGGTCAGGGGCAGCGCTGGGGTCCTCACTCCCCCGCCCTCTGGGTCAGGGGCAGCGCCGGGGTCCTCACACCCCCGCCCTCTGGGTCAGGGGCAGTGCCGGGGTCCTCACTCCCATTGTCCACCATAGAACCTGGGCCTCTGTTGGGGCGGGCTTGGCCCCTGGGTGATGGGGGCCTGGGCAGGCCTGGGGGGGTCTCAGCCGGGATGGGAGGAGACCCTGGCAGGCTCATTTGACCTGGGCTCTGGTTGGGGGGTGGTACCAGGCTGGAGTCTGGGGCCCGGGGAGACCTGCTTCCGGCAGGAATCGCCTTCCCTGCTGCCCTGGGCCTGGTCACCGAGGCCGGAGGCTCGGAGGTTCCCCTGGGCGTGGGCCTGTGCTGGGGCAGTGGGGGCTGCGTGCATCCCGGGCAGGTCGTAAAGATAAACCTCTGATAACCTGTGTCAATATTTCCCCACGCCCGGCCTGCAGGAGCCCCCACAGCTGCTCTCTGGATAATCTGGGAGACGCCCCACCCACCCTGCCCCTCCCCTCCCTGCCTGCGGCGGACGCCCGCGGGCCATATAAGGCCGGGACCCCTGGCCTCGGTCGCTCTCCCACACGGGCCTCCTGAGCCAACATGGGGTTGCCACTGGCCCGCCTGGCAGTGGTCTGCCTGGCCCTGTCCTTGGCCGTGGCCGGGCAGATTCAGGAAGGTGAGGCGGGCTGGGCACAGCGGCCAGGAGCGAGCAGAGTGCCCTGGGGGCGGGGGCGGGCAGGGAGACCAGCAGCCCAGAGCCCGATGCCCAGGAGTGGATGGTCTTGCTCTGCCTGGCCTGGTCGGGGGGTCCCCAGGCACCAGGACAGTCTGTACGGCTCCAGCTAGGCTCCCAGGCTGGGGTCAGGCAGGCTGAGCCCCCAGCCTGGCCTCATGGGGCAGGAAGGAGGGCGTAAGGTCCTTGGGTGCCTACCAGATGGTGGTCCAGGGGCCCCGGGGGGAGATCTGTTGGGGAGGTGGGGGGGTGGTCCAGGTATCAGGGGCCCCCGGGGGCAAAGGCCAGGCCAGGGCCTTCTTGACCTGGACCTACCCGCCAGCCCGAGCCGAGGACTGGGTGTCCAGGGGAGGGGCTGCCTATCTGCTGGGTGGTGGGTGCCCGGAGCAGAGGGAGGCGCCGGGGGATGGGATGGACAGAGTGTGGCGCTGGCCGGGCCGGGTGGGCTCTGGCCAGGGGCACGAGGCAACCAGGGTGACCAGTGCCCGGAGGCCCTCTGCCCCCTCGCCCCACACAGCAAATGGCCAGGGTGGGAAGCCGGAGACAACCTCCCAGGGGGCCCCAGAGCCCCGGGGGTGACCGGTGCCCAGCACAGGCCTCTCGGGGAAGAAGGGTCTGCCCCCACGAGGGACACTGTGCCGGGACCCCCGTGGGCCATGAGCGGCCTCCCGCTGCTCCTGGGGGCCTCCCGGGGGCCTGGCCACTCACCCCGTGCCCCCCGCTGCCCGCTCAGAAGGCCGAGCCCAGAACCACGGCCACAACGTCTGCAGCACCTGGGGCGACTTCCACTACAAGACCTTCGACGGCGCCGTCTTCCGCTTCACCGGCCTCTGCGACTACAACTTCGCCTCCGACTGCCGGGACTCCTACAAGGAGTTCGCCCTGCACCTGCAGCGGGGCCCGGCCCAGGCCGGGGGCGCCTCCCAGATCACATCCGTCCTGCTCACCATCAAAGACGACGTCATCTATCTCACCCACCAGCTGATCGTGGTCAACGGGGCCATGTGAGCGCCGGCCCCTGTCCCGGGACCAGGGGGTGGGGCTGGCGGTCTCCACCTGGGGCTCCCTGCCCTGCACACGGCTGGGACACACTCGGGGACCAAGCAAGTCCCTGATTCACTCCTCAGACGCGTGTGGCAGCCGGCACGAGGCCGTCCCTAGGCGAGCGGTCCCTGGCAGCCCGGGGACCTGGTGGGGGGCTGGGCGGGGTTCTGCCAGGCTAGAGTTACAGAAGCCCCCGCCCCCTCGGTGCTGGGGGTGGGCAGGGGCGTTGTCTCCACAACAATGGGGCCTCTGAAATGCAATCCTGCCCCCCCCCCGTCCCACCCCCAGGAGTGCCTGTCCCTGCTCCCTGGATTCTTTTTCCCAGCCAAGCTCGGCCAGGGCCCCTATCATGGGGGTAGGGGCTCAGAGGCTGGAGCCGGGCTGGGGTCCCTGGAGGAGGGGCGTCGGCCCTCTGAGTAGGGGGCCCGTGGGGTGATCGGGTGACTCTGGTACCTTCGGGGACCCTGGGGAACCCCCGCCCAGGACAGCACCAAGGAAGGGACCGGGCAGGAGGAAGCGAGGCAGGGTCGCAGCCCCTGGGCCGCGCTGGGCTGGCAGCGCCTGTGGCCAGGGGCTGCTCGCAAGCACACCCCGCAGGGCCGGGGCCGCACTGACGCCTGGCGCCCCCTCCCCAGGGTCAGCACCCCGCACTACAGCTCCGGGCTGCTCATAGAGAAGAGCGAGGCGTACACCAAGGTCTACTCCCGCGCTGGCCTCTCCCTCATGTGGAACCGGGAGGACTCGCTCATGGTGGGTGCCGGCCGGGGGCGCTCCCAGGCAGAGGGCTGCGGGTCTGGCCCCCCGGAAGGACGCCAGCTGGCCCAGGGGCAGTGGAGGGAGCCGGCCTGGGCTGGCCCGGGAGGGGACGCTCGGGGCAGTGGCCGGCCCGCGTCTCTCGCTGCGCTGCCGGCACCCCCTTGCGGTCGCCCCCGTGCCCCCTTGCACCTGCTGTAGCCCTGCCACCTGCTCCCTTCCCGTGACAGCTGGAGCTGGACAGTAAGTTCCAGAACCACACCTGCGGCCTCTGCGGGGACTACAACGGCCAGCAGACCTCGGAGTTTCTCTCTGATGGTGAGGGCAGGCGGCTGCCCTGGGAGTGCGGGGAGGGGGCCCTCAGGCTCCCGGGACCCCCTGACCGCCTGTGCCCCTTGTGCCAGGCATCTCCCTCAGCGCCACTGAGTTTGGCAACAGGCAGAAGATCAACAACCCCCAGACCAAGTGTGAGGACCCCGAGGAGGTGTCGGCCCCCGAGTCCTGCTCCAAGCACGTGAGTCGCGGGGACGGGGTCCCCGGGGGGCGGCAGGGCCCCAGGAGGGGCGAGGGCGGCCGCCAACCCTCCCACCTGCCCGTCTGCCCGCCCGCAGCGCGCCGAGTGCGAGAGGCTGCTGACCGCCGCGGCCTTCGAGGACTGCCAGGCCCGGCTGCCGGTGGAGCTGTACCTGGACGCCTGCGTGCAGGACCTGTGCAGCTGTGGGGCAGACGCCTCCTGCGCCTGCAGCACCATCTCCGAGTTCTCCCGCCAGTGCTCCCACGCCGGCGGCCGGCCCGGCAGCTGGAGGACCGCCTCGCTCTGCCGTAAGGCGGCGGCCCCGTGGGGGGGGTGCCTGTGGGGGGCTGGGGAGCCGGGGGTGCCCGCTCACGGGCCACCTCTGCACTTCCAGCCAAAAGCTGCCCTGGGAACATGGTGTACCTGGAGAGCGGCTCGCCCTGTATGGACACCTGCTCCCACCTGGAGGTCAGCAGCCTGTGCGAGGAACACCCCATGGACGGCTGCTTCTGCCCAGAAGGTAGCGCTGGGGACAGCGACGGCCGGGGCGGCGCGGCAGGGCAGACCCCAGTGCCGAACTCCCCTGCCCTGGCCCCCATGGTGGCTGCAGGAGGCTGGGGGGGGGTGCCAGCCTGGTTCCGCAGGGCCCTGGCTCAGGGCAGGGCAGGAGGCGGTCTGGAGACCCCTCCCCAGAGATGAGGTGGGGCTGGCAGAGGTGACTGTGGGTGGGCTCGCAGCCCCCCCGCCCCGGGATTCTGGCACCTTCTGAGGCCAGCCCGGGTGACGCCGGCCCCTGCTGTCCAGGCACCGTGTATGATGACGTCGGGGGCAGCGGCTGCATCCCGGTGAGCCAGTGCCACTGCAAGCTACACGGGCGCCTGTACTCCCCGGGCCAGAAGATCACCAACGACTGTGAGGACTGGTGAGTCTCGGGGCCCCGGGCAGGCGGGGGCGGCGGCCTGGTGCTGACGCCGCGTCCCCCGCCCGCAGCGTCTGCAACGCCGGCCGCTGGGTCTGCAAGGACCTGCCGTGCCCCGGGACCTGCGCCCTGGAGGGCGGCTCCCACATCACCACCTTCGACGGGAAGAAGTTCACCTTCCACGGCGACTGCTACTACGTCCTGAGCAAGGTGCGCGCCAGCCCTGGGTACCACCTGCCCCCAGGCGGGGCCCAGGCGCTCCCCGAGTGGCAGCTGGGCTCCCGGTGCCGCCCACGGCCGCTGCAGTGCTGCTGCCCCTCCCCCGCAGGGCGACCACAACGACTCCCACGCTCTCCTGGGCGAGCTGGCCCCCTGCGGCTCCTCGGACAAGCAGACCTGCCTGAAGTCGGTGGTGCTGGTGACCGACCGGAAAAAGGATGTGCGTGCCCCTCCCCCTAGCGCCCAGGCCCCCACCCCTCTCCCCAGGCCCCCCAGCCCTCTCAGCCCCTTCCTCCCCCAGGCCCTCCCTCCTCCCCCCAGGCCCCCCAGCCCTCTCAGCCCCGCCCCCGCCGTGCCTGCAGGTGGTGGCCTTCAGGGCGGACGGCAGGGTCCTGCTCAACGAGCTGGAGGTGCACCTGCCCCACGTCACAGGTGAGTCCTGCTCCGCCCTGGGTGCTCCCTGGGCCGGGCTTCCGTGGGGGGGGTCGGGGCCGGGCTCCCGTGGGGGGCGCTCCCGGGGCCGGGCTCCCGTGGGGGGGTTGGGGCCGGGCTTCCGTGGGGGGGTCAGGGCCGGGCTCCCGTGGGGGGCGTCGTGGCTGGGCCTCCCATGGTGGGCGTCGGGGCCAGGCCTCCCGTGGGGGGCGTCCGGGCCAGGCCCTCACCGCCCTGCCTTGCAGCCAGCTTCTCCATCTTCCAACCGTCCTCATACCACATCATCGTGGACACGGCCTTCAGCCTGCGGCTGCAGATCCAGCTGGTCCCTGTCATGCAGCTCTACGTCACACTGGACCAGGCCTCCCAGGGCCAGGTGCAGGGTGAGTGACCCCGGGCTCGCCCCTTCCGCGGCCTCCGCCGATGGCCCGCACGGAGGCTGCCTCCCAGGGCCAGGTGCAGGGTGAGTGACCCCGGGCTCGCCCCTTCCGCGGCCTCCGCCGATGGCCCGCACGGAGGCTGCCTCTGAGGCCGGCGCCTTCCCAACCCCGCCCTGCCCCGCAGGCCTCTGCGGGAACTTCAACGGCCTGGAGAGCGATGACTTCAGGACGGCCAGCGGGCTGGTGGAGGCCACGGGCGCCAGCTTCGCCAACACCTGGAAGGCCCAGTCCAGCTGTCACGACAAGCTGGACTGGCTGGACGACCCCTGCTCGCTCAACATCGAGAGCGGTGAGGCCCGGCGCTGCTGGGCGCTGCCCGTCGGCCGGCCCGGGAGTCCGGCCAAGGCCATCGAGGCCCGGGGCACGGGGGCTCCCGAGGGGGAGGGGCGGGGGCAGGTCAGAAGGTCCCACCCGGGGCCAGCTGCTGTGTCTGGCACACGGCTGGTTTACGGTGCCCCTCGGGGCGGGGAGAGGGGAGCCCATCCCGCATGGAGCTTCCCGAGGTTGGACCGGAGGGAGGAAGGGGCCTGGGCTCGGGTCCACAGAGGGGGGCCATGCCCACCGCAGCCTGGGCAGCCAGGCGGGAGGAAGGGGCCTGGGCTCGGGTCCACAGAGGGGGGCCATGCCCACCGCAGCCTGGGCAGCCAGGCGGGAGGAAGGGGCCTGGGCTCGGGTCCACAGAGGGGGGCCATGCCCACCGCAGCCTGGGCAGCCAGGCGGGAGGAAGGGGCCTGGGCTCGGGTCCACAGAGGGGGGCCATGCCCACCGCAGCCTGGGCAGCCAGGCGGGAGGAAGGGGCCTGGGCTCGGGTCCACAGAGGGGGGCCATGCCCACCGCAGCCTGGGCAGCCAGGCGGGAGGAAGGGGCCTGGGCTCGGGTCCACAGAGGGGGGCCATGCCCACCGCAGCCTGGGCAGCCAGGCGGGAGGAAGGGGTCTGGGCTCGGGTCCACAGAGGGGGGCCATGCCCACCGCAGCCTGGGCAGCCAGGAGGGAGGAAGGGGCCTGGGCTTGGGTCCACAGAGGGGGGCCATGCCCACCGCAGCCTGGGCAGCCAGGCGGCTGGACTGGGGCAGCTGCAGGGGGCACCCAGCCCTCGCTGAGGTCCCGGTCACCCCTCAGCCAACTACGCCGAGCACTGGTGCTCCCTCCTGAAGAAGACGGAGACCCCCTTCAGCAAGTGCCACTCGGCTGTGGACCCCTCGGAGTATTACAAGGTGGGTGGGGCCCGCACCTGAGCCCCACCCCGCACCCGCCTCTGCACGCCCGGGCAGGGTCCTTGCAGCCGGCGAGGTGGGCCTCGGGCACCCGGCTGAGCTGCAGGTGGCCGGGCTGGGGCTGGCGGGCGCTGGAACCCTGCGGGGGGCTGTGGGCCACGCCTGGCCGCCCCGCCTCACCGCCCACTGCCTCCTCTGCTCAGAGGTGCAAGTACGACACCTGCAACTGTGCGAACAGCGAGGACTGCCTGTGCGCGGCGCTGTCCTCCTACGCGCACGCCTGCGCCGCCAAGGGCGTCATGCTGTGGGGCTGGCGGGAGCGCGTCTGCAGTGAGTGCCGCCCGGGCCGCGCGGAGGGCGGGCGGCCCCGGGGAGGCTCGGGGCGCGCTGGGTGCCCTGGCCCTGCCCTCACGCCCGCCCCCGGCCCCCTCTGCAGACAAGGAGGCGGCCTCGTGCCCCAGCTCCCAGGTCTTCCTGTACAACCTGACCACCTGCCAGCAGACCTGCCGCTCGCTCTCCGAGGCCAACAGCCACTGCCTGGAGGGCTTAGCCCCCGTGGACGGCTGCGGCTGCCCCGACCACACCTTCCTGGACGAGAAGGGCCGCTGCGTGCCCGTGGCCAAGTGCTCCTGCTACCACAACGGGCTCTACCTGGAGGCGGGGGACGTGGTGCTGAGGCAGGAGGAGCGATGGTGGGTGTGGCCGGGCCCCGGCAGGGACGGGGGTGCCTGGGGTGGGGCCCCGGGAGGGGCCAGGCTGGCCGTGGCCGTGGCCGTGGCCGTGACCGTCCTGCCTGGGGACCGAGCCTGAGCCCCGGTCACCGCCCACCTGCCTCTTGCAGCATCTGCCGGAACGGGAGGCTGCACTGCACGCAGGTCAAACTGCTGGGCCAGAGTAAGTGGCCGCTGCCCGTGTGTGGCCGCTGCCCGTGTGCGTGGACGCTGCCCGTGTGTGGACACTGCCCCTGTGTGGATGCTGCCTGTGCATGGACACTGCCCATGTGTGGCTGCTGCCCGTGTGCGTGGACGCTGCCCGTGTGCGGCCGCCCACCCCCTGCTGGCCCGAGCCCCGCGTCCGGCAGGCGCTGAGGCAGCCCCTCTCCCACAGGCTGTGCCGCCCCGAAGATCCTCGTGGACTGCAACAATCTGACTGCTCTGTCCACCCTGAGGCCACGCTCCCTCAGCTGCCAGACGCTGGCTGCGAGCTATGTGCGTGCCGGGGAGGGCCGCTGAGGGTGTGCGTGTGTGTGTGTGTGCACGTGCGTGCTGGGGAGGGCCGCTGAGTGTGGGAGGCAGGGTAGGTGTTCCAGGGACGGTGCTGAGCTGGGGGGCAGGTGGGTTTCTGGGCGTGGCCATGGGGTCCTGTCCCTGGAGGGAAGAGGCAGCGTGGGGGCCCCTGGACCATGGGCAATCGGCCCTCACAAGTGTGCCAGCGGTGGGCCCGAGGGAGAGACTGCCCTGCCCCTCCCGACTCCCAGAGGGCTGTGGTCTCACTGTGCCCCGGCCCCCACTCGCCCTCTCCAGTACCACACGGGCTGCGTCAGCGGCTGCGTGTGCCCCGAGGGGCTGATCGACGACGGCCGGGGCGGCTGCGTGGAGGAGGAGGACTGCCCGTGCCTGCACCACAAGAACCTGTACTCCCCGGGCTCCAAGATCAAGGTGGACTGCAACACCTGGTGAGCTGGCCCAGCCGGCGGGGGCAGGGCCGACAGGCTGGGCGCGGGTGCTGCCGCCGTGGGGCCTGCCGCTGTGGAGCCGGGGCGGCACTTTGGGGGCTGGTGTGGGCATGTGCAGGTGCTGTGCTGACCCCACAGTGCCTGGGGGTCCGGCCAGGCCACCGCCTGGGCTGGGGCTGGGGCACTGAGGCCCCCCAGGTCCCTTCAAGCGCCTGTCCCCTCTCCCCAGCACCTGCCAGAGGGGGCGCTGGGTGTGCACTCAGTCCCTGTGCCACGGCACCTGCTCAATCTACGGGAGCGGCCACTACGTCACCTTCGACGGCAAGTACTACGACTTTGATGGACAGTGCTCCTACGTGGCCGTCCAGGTGAGGCTCTGGGCGCCTTCGCCAAGGCCCTGCCCTGCCTGCCCTGCGCTGCTCCCGGCCAGCAAGGATGGCCTTGAGATGTGGGGCGACGCGGTGGGGGGGCCCCAGGAGGCCAGGAGGGCTTGGGCTGTGAGCAGTGGGCCTGGGGCCTGCAGGAGCACGGAGGGTGGTGGGGTTGATAAGGGGCCTGATGTGTGTGTGCGTGTGTGCACTGTGTGCATGCGTGTGCGTGTGTGCATGTGCGTGCTGGCCAGCAGCCGCAGGGCCCAGCCTCCTGGACGGGAGGGACAGGCCGGGGCTGGCTGCGGCGATGCTGCGCTGACGCTGCCCCGCCCTCAGGACTACTGCGGCCAGAACTCCTCCGGGGGCTCCTTCAGTATCGTCACCGAGAACGTCCCCTGCGGCACCACGGGCGTCACCTGCTCCAAGGCCATCAAGATCTTCCTGGGGGTGAGGGCCGCGCCTGGACGTGTGCGGCTGGGGGCTGGGCGTGCGCTCTGCGCAGGCGCCCCCGAGGGCTGGCGTGTGCGCTAGACGCGGGCGCGCCCTGGGGCGGGGCTTGGGGTGAGTGCTGGGCGCGGGCGCCCCCGGGGCAGGGCTTGGGATGAGCCCTGGACTTGGGCACCCCTGGGAGCTAGGGGTGTGCGCTAGACGCGGGCGCGCCCTGGGGGGCTTGGAGGGAGCACTGGGCGCAGGCGTCCCTGGGGCGGGGCTTGGGGTGAGTGCTGGGCGCGGGCGCCCCCGGGGGCTAGGGGTGTGTGGTGGAGCGGGTACGCTCAGGGGGACTTGGGGCGAGTGCTGGGCACGGGCGCCCCTGGGCGGGGCTTGGGGTGTGTGCTGGAGGTGGGCGCCCCGGGGGGCTTTGCCCCTCACCCAGGGCTAGGGGCCTGCGGTGACCGCGCCGACCTCGGCAGGGCACGGAGCTGAAGCTGGAGGAGAAGCAGCGGAGGGTGGTGCAGCTGGCCGGCCGGCACGTGGCCTACACCACGCGGGAGGTGGGCCAGTACCTGGTGGTGGAGGCCAGCACGGGCGTCATCGTGATCTGGGACAAGAAGACCACGCTCTTCATCAAGCTGGCCCCCTCCTACAAGGTGCGCTGCCCCGCCCGGCCGTGGCGGCTGCCCCTCGCGGCGTCCGCCCCGTCCCCCACCAGAGCCCCGGCCCGCGCGGCCCCTCCTTGATTGACGCGGGCTGCTGGTCGCGCAGGGCACCGTGTGCGGGCTGTGCGGGAACTTCGACGACCGCTCCAACAACGACTTCACCACGAGAGACCACTTGGTGGTCAGCAGCGAGCTGGACTTCGGCAACAGCTGGAAGGAGGCGGCCACCTGCCCGGACGTGGGCAGCACCCCGGAGCCCTGCAGCCGGAACCCGCACCGCCGCTCCTGGGCCGAGAAGCAGTGCAGCCTCATCAAGAGCTCCGTGTTCAGCGCCTGCCACAGCAAGGTGGGCGGGGCCGCGGGCGTGGGCGTGGTCGAGAGAGGTGGGTGGGACCGTGGGCGTGGGCTAGCCACAGTGAGGTGGGCGGCCCCGCGGAAGTGGGTGTGGCCACAGTAGGGAGGGCGGGGCGGATGTGGGCTGAACTGGGGTTTGGGAGGCCTGTAGGTGTGGGAGGGGCTCGGGAGCAGCTCCTGGCTCCAGGGGCACATCGGGAAGTTACCCTGCTGTGTCACCCCGCGGGGCTTGTCCTGATGACCAGCCTTGCCCCTCTGTGATCCCTGGCTGGGCCCCAGCCTCCCTTGGCCGCCCCGGGTTCACGGGCACCCCTGGCGCAGCTTGGGGCAGGTGCGGGGGAGGGGTCTCGGGGTGAGCACTCTGCAGCTGAGGACCGCGGCCCCGAGGGCTCGTGGCAGAGCCGGAGAGGCCCAAACCTGGGCGCCGGGAGCTGGGCGACTGAGGGCAGCAGGACCTAGGGCACACTTGGTCCTCCCGCAGGTGGACCCCACGGTCTTCTACGAGGCCTGCGTGCACGACTCCTGCTCCTGCGACACGGGCGGCGACTGCGAGTGCTTCTGCTCCGCCGTGGCCGCCTACGCGCAGGAGTGCACCAAGGCCGGGGCCTGCGTGTTCTGGAGGACGCCGGACCTGTGCCGTGAGTGCCGGGGCCGCCGCGCTGAGGGCCCTCCCCGTGCTGGGCAGGAGGCCCCTCGCCCCCGCATCCTTCCTGGGAGCCTCTGCGGGGCGGGGGGAGCTGGGTGTGTTCCTGCCTGGGCCCCCCAGCCTCCCCTCCCTGGGCACCACCCCCACACCTGGGCACCGGGTGAGCTGGGCCTGATCCTGCTCCCCCCCCACGCGGGCACTGCCCTGCTCCTGGGTCTGACCTCGCTGCCCGCCCCGTCCGATCCTGCCCCCCCACCCCCCGGGTCTGATCCTGCCCCCCTTGGCTCTGATCCTGCCCCCCGCCCCTCCCGGGTCTGATCCTGCCCCCACCCCTCCCTGCGCCCGCCCTGACCCCGCCCTGCCCCCCCAGCCGTGTTCTGTGACTACTACAACCCCCCCGACGAGTGCGAGTGGCACTACGAGCCCTGTGGGAACCGCAGCTACGAGACGTGCAGGACCGTCAACGGCATCCACTCCAACATCTCCGTGTCGTACCTGGAGGGTGCGCGGGCCGGCGTGGGCCGGGTGGGATTTGCTCCCTCACCGTGGGCTGGGGCCTGCGCCGAGGCCGTGCCTCAGGGGGTGGCAGACAGGGAGCAGGAAGCTGCGCCTCGGGGCGGGGGGACCCTGGCCTGGCCCCAGGACCGCCCCTGGCCGGGCTCCTCCGTGGTCAGCCAAGCCTCGTCTCCGTGCCCCCAGGGTGCTACCCCCGGTGCCCCAGGACAGGCCCATCTACGACGAGGACCTGAAGAAGTGCGTGAGGGAGGACCAGTGTGGCTGCTACATCGAGGACACGCGCTACCCCCCGGGGGCTTCCGTCCCCACCGACGAGATCTGCAAGACCTGGTACTGAGCCTGGGATGTGGGGGCCGGGCACATGCACGGACACGCGGGCCCACAGCAGCCGGGCGAGGGCCCCCTCCCGCCTCAGCCCCTGCACCCACCCCGCTGTGAGGACCCCGTGGGCGGGGGGCCCGGGACCCCGGCTGTGAGGGCGGAGCTCTGCAGCCGGGCCCTTGCTTTGCAGTGTGTGCACCGAGTCCTCGCAGGTCGAATGCCGCGTGGAGGAAGGTGAGCTGCCCTGCCTTCTCCCGGGGGCGCCCTCGGCCCGGACGCCGGGGCTGGGGCCCGTGGGGGTGCCCACCGCCTTCCCGCTTCCCCCTCGTCCTCCGGCCGTCTCTGGGGCCCCTCCTCGGTGACCCAGCGTCTCCGAAGCCAGGGCTTCTGGCGCCTTCGTCTCCCGCCTGCCCGGCTGACGGGTCCCTGTCGCGGCCCCGCCAGGGAAGGTTCTCAACCGGACCCAGGACGGCGCCTTCTGCTACGAGGAGGTCTGCGACCTCAACGGGAACGTGGAGCAGCGCTTCAACATCTGCACGACTGCCGCGCCAACCCCGTCCACCCAGACGGCCTCCACGACCATCACGCTGCCCCCCAGCACCCCGCTCCCCACCACCACCACCACCACCACCACCACCACCAGCCCCACCAGCAGCAGCACAGGTACAGCCTGGGCCGCGCTCCCGCGCCGGGAGTGAGCCTCAGGCCCACCCGCCCAGGCCGGGCCGCAGCGGGGGTTTGCACGTTCGGGTTAGGGAAGTCAGCTCCAAGCGGTTCTGGTTGAGACGCTGGCCCTGCTGGAAAAGCCGCCCGGGGAGGGACAGACCAGGAATTCTTAGGAAAAACGATGCTCAGCCCGACGGTATAACGACATGCCTGGCCCCTCCCCTCTGTTGCAGCACCGACGACGACACATGGTGAGTGGCGCTGACCACGCCGCCCTGCTGCCCAGTGCACGGTGAGGCCGGTACTGTGGTGACTTGGCTCGCCGTCAGCTGAGCCAGGGACCAGCGAGGTGGCGCTGACCGGCCGAGGGCAGCCGCTGAGCAGGTCCCGGGCACCCAGAGCCCTTCCCGGTGCTCTCCGCTGGGACGGGCCGCACGTCCAGTGCCTCCTGAACCCAGCTGAGCCCAGCGTGGAGCTGAGTCCATCACACTCGGGTGGCCCCGGGTGGCTGCAGTAGGAGGGTGGCGCCTCCCAGCTGGGCCTGTGGGGGTGGCGGGAGGGGAGGGGCAGCGGCCCCCGGGCTGAGTGTCCCCCGGCCGGCTCTGGCTCCCCAGTACCTCCGTGCTGCTTCTGGACCGACTGGATCAATGAGGACCACCCGAGCAGTGGCGATGATGGCGGCGACCGCGAGAGCTTCGACGCCGTGTGTGCGGCTCCCGAGGACATCGAGTGCCGGTCGGCCACCGAGCCCCACCTCAGCTGGG